CCCTCTACCCCCTCTCCTCTGCATCGCGGGCGGCCACGTCTCGGCCTCCTGCCCGCTCCTAGGAATGGAGGGGCCGGGCGCTGCAGCGCGGGACAGCACTTACGGCGTAGAGGGAGGGAGGTTTCCACTGGAAATCCAGGCCCCTGCTGCTCTCACAGCGCAGGACACACTCCTAAAACCCCAACGCTGGCAGGGAACAGGGCTGCAGGGGACAGCACAGGACACAGGGTGGCCCCCGCGCCGCTCCCGCCGCTCCTCTGAGCTTCAGGCCACTGCAAAGAACAGACGGAGGCTGCAAAGCAACTTCTGCTGCTAACTCACACCAAAGCCGAGCGATGACCGCTTTTCTTTCAAAGTACATTTATGCAAGTTCTCAGGAGATACATTTCAGGAGGTACAAAAAATATCTTTAACCGAGTTAAAAACTAAACTTGTCCAAGTCATCTGAGGTACGTTGGCTATAAGAGCAAAGGTTACAGTTTCCTTGGAGGAGAGGGACGGAGGCACCTCTCTTGCAAAAGGAGGTCCGAACAGGAGCTTGCCAATAACTACGCAGGGAAACCCACGCTAGCCGGCTGTAGTGTTTGCACATTCCTTTCTTCCGAGCTAAAAACATATCAAGTAGAAGACAAAGCTATCAGTGCACGTTGCAAGCCGATACTCAACGCAGAGAGTGCGCTGTAATACAAAGCGTCACCTGGAGAAGAAAAGGATTTTGTGTAGGTTAAGCAAGTGCAGAATTAAGAATTTGCCTCTATTTCTGTGACTATGCAGTTCCACGGGCTGCTGAAAGGCGGGGGATCCTGCTTCGCTCTAGTGCTGAGGTGCACTGGAAACCCCTTGGACAGCAAAAACATTAAGCATCTGATCGTGGTGCTGTTCCCAGCGCCTCAGGACACCTCCCCTGACAACCAGACACAAGCTGGCAATTCTTTTCCTTTCCCCCCACGCCTTAACAAGACAGACGAAGCGGCGCAGAGCTCCCGCGCTGCACCGCACCCGGTGTCGCCGGGAGCCTCTTTGGTATATGACGATGGAGGTTGTCCTGCAGATCGCGAACAGCGGCCCTTTCCCAGCGGTGACGCTGCAGCGAGCGAGTCCCTCTCCTTCTGCAGAGCCTCCCCAGCAGCAGGTCCTAGTCACGGGAACCACCCCAGGTTAAAGCCAAACTTGGCAAGGATCTTGAGTGCTAAAGCTCTTTGCAAGCTTGATGGCTGCGGTTCCTTTCCTGGCTCTCCAAGATCTGGGGCGGGGGAGAAACAAAAAAGGGAAAAAAAGAGGCAAGCCAAAGGAAAAGCAAGGAGCCTCTGCGAGAGAGAGGCCGGGCTAGCAGGATCCTTGTCGGGAGAGGAAGCAGCGCGTGCGGCGAGAGCGCTCCCGCGCCGGCATGGCGAGCTCGCGGCGCCGACCGCGCTCTGCTCGCGCTGTTGCTCCGTCTGACGGAGACGCCAGGAGCGCGGCGGGCCGGGGCTTGGGAGCGCAGGGCGCTCTAACGTGGAGCTGTGCCGTGGGGACCGTGGGGACCGTGCCGCGGGGCGGCAGCGCGGGGCGGCTTCCCGAGCCCGGCGGCCCAAGGAGCCCGGGCGCAGCGCGGCTGCTGCGGGCAGAGCGGTGCGTTTCCCCTGAGGGCCGCCGCAGGCCACGTTATCCCCC